TTTTTTTAATTTTGGACATATTACGTTATTCGCTTGCTTGAAAATCTAGTGACAATAGGCTCATTTTATTAAGCATTGTGCTATCTTAATTAGTCAAGAGAGTGCAAATTGCAAACAAGCTCGTCTTTTGAAGATAAAAAAATATAATTTATGGATAAAACTAAAATTGAGGCCAACTATGCACTTGGACATGAAAAAATAAAAATAAAAAACATCATCTTTAATACTAGGGGCGGACGCACCTTATAGCCAACGAGGGCCTAACCCCCCAAATTTTTTTTTTCTATATTAGTATTATAGTATATGACAAACTCACTCACTACTAAATCTTTGATATTTGTTTAATTTGATACCAACAACTCTCCCACCATTACTAAAATCATTCCTTCTTCTCTTTTTCTTAACTCTTCCTCTATTCAAAACATCAAAAAAAAAAAACAAAAAAACAAAAAAACCTTCTCTCCGATTTGGATTTCTCTTTTCGACAACATAACGTGTATTTTCTTTAAAAATAAGTAATTTATTAACTCTTATTATATTACTTATATTATTAATTTATTAAGTTTTTTATTTATATATTTATCGAATCTTAGCAACTATCAATTTTTTTAAATAATATTTTATAATTAAAATATTAGATCGGTTGTTTTTCTAATTTTATTTTATGTGATTAAAGTATCTATTGAAATATTGGATCCATGACTTCGTAAAATTTTGATAATCTATCAACTTGAATTAAAATTGTACTATTGTTCTTGAAATTTTACGTCGTTATTATGCTTGTAATTGTAGACCCAAAGAAAAAAATAACAAAAGGATTTGTAATAGTAGGAATGCAAGATTACAATTTATAAATAATCATTCTTTTTTCATTAATGGTTATAAAAAATATCTTCAATTATTTTAGTCACAAACATATTTAGATTCATATACTAGATTCTTAATTATTTGTTTGTTAATAATAACGATTTTTCTTGTTTATATTTTATAGGTTCTATATTACTAAAGTGATTATTTTGAAATATATTCAACTTAAGCAATCGATGCTACTATAATCCTTAATATTTTTAGGTACGTATACTAGTGAGCCTAGTGGGTGGCTCCTAGTAGACTCGGGTGGTGGTCCATTTATGTATTTTGTTTGAAAATTTAAATATCTTATTTGTATTTTAAGTGATTTTTAATTTATTGCATATCGCACTTTAGAAATTATTACATATTCAGATTTGTAATTTATTTTTATGGTAGATGAAAAAGTCACATACCATTGATGTTTAAAAGAAAGAATGTTATCATTTCAAACTCTAATGAGGAGTCAAATTCTTCCGTTGATCCCGATTCTTTGAATTTTGAAAATTCTCCTACAAAATCTCGGAGAGTTGAAATCAAAGAAGGGTTTGATATCAATTTATTGTAACGTGATCCGAGATTATGACCACAAATATAGGAGTATCCCGTTGACAAACATGATGAAGTTCAAAGAGCCTATATTAATGTCTGGTCCATATCAGCATATGCTTTCAAATTATCCAAAATCTAGAGAAAAGCATCCTCGTAGTTTCCAAGCATCATGGTTTAAAATATTTCCATCATGGTTAGAATATTCTTCGACCAAAGATGCTGTATTTTGTTATCATGTTATTTATTTCACATACTAAATTGATCTTTTGGATCAAATGCATTCACTCGTTAATGGATTTCGATCATGAAAGAATGTTGGGGATGATAAAAATTGTGCATTTTTGGTGCATTATGGAAAAGATCACACTTTTCCTCATAGAAATATTGAGAAAGCATATCAGGATCTCATGAATCAACCTTTGCATAATGAGAAAAGGTTTGTGAAATTTACTTCTCATCAAATTACAAACAATTGAGTTCGATTGAAAACTTCACTTAATGTAACTCGATGGCTTACATTTCAAGGATGCGTATTTAGAGGTCATGATGAGACCAAAACATCAATGAATCATGGAAATTTTCTTAAACTATTGAGTTTTGTGACATCTTACAAAGACAGGGTAGCATAAGTATTGAGTAAAGCTCCACAAAATGCCTCATACACATCACTAAGAGTGTAAAAAGAAATTTTACAAATCTTGGCAACTAAAGTCAATAATGTTATCCGCGAAGAAATTAGTGATGTAAAATTTTATATAATTATTGATGAAGCTCGAGGTGAGTCTAAAAAAGAAGCAAATGGCTATTGTATTGAGATTTGTTGACAAAATTGGATATGTTCGAGAGCTTTTTTTTGCACTTATTCATGTAAAAGACACTATTATATTAACATGGAAAGAAGGAATATTTTTTATTCTCTCTCATTATAGTCTTGATGTTCGGAATATCGGAGGATAGGGTTATGATGGTGCAAGCAATATACGAGGGGAATGGAATAGGTTACAAGATTTAATTTCAAATGAATACCCTTTTGCATACTATGTTCATTGTTTGGCTTATCGTTTGCAGTTGGCATTAGTTGTCGCATCAAAAGAATTTATCCCTATACATAATTTTTTCACCAAATTGAACTCCATTGTTAATATCGTTAGCGCTTTATTTAAGCGTAATGACCAATTGAAAGTCGTTCATACTCCAAATATTGCTTATTTACTTTCCATTGGTGAACTTGAAAGTAGGAGAGGGCTTAATCAAGTTGGTGGTTTACAAAAGGTCGGAGATAATCGTTGGAGTTCTAATCTAAAATTTGTTTCTAGCTTGATGAATATGTTTAGTGCAACTTGTGAAATTTTACTCAATATCATTGAAGATGGAGCAACAACTATTTAGCGTGGAGATGCGGATGTAGCTTATGAGGGATTAGCTTCTTTTGAATTTGTTTTCATTATGCATCTCATGAGAAAATTTTTAGAGATATCTCGATTTGCATTGTCGAGCTTCATAACTTCAATCTCGTGGATATTTTGAATGCAATACATCTAGTTTCTTCATCTAAGTTACTCATTCAAAAATTAAGAGATGAAGGATGGGATGAATTAATTTTAAAAGTACAATATTTTTGTGAAGCGATCGACATATCCATACCGGACTCGAGTGCTCATTATGTTACAAGAAAAGGAAGGGCTCATCATTAACAAGATGCAATTATAGTTGAACATCATTACAAAGTTGACATATTCAATGTTATGATAGATTCTCAATTATAAAAACAGAATAATAGATTCAATGATTACATGATAGAGCTACTCATTCTTAGCTCGACTTTAGATCATAGAGAGATGTGCATATCATTTAGGATTGATGACATTTATAAGTTGGTGCAAAACATTTACCTTTAAGATTTTGTCGATCATGAAATGCTACAATTAAAGATGTAGTTTGAGCATTTTTATCATGTATGAAATCTTTCGATTTCGAAACATTGTCAACTATATCCGATTTGTGTCATTGGATGATGAAGACAAGAAAAATTAAAAGTTATCCACTTGTGTATACAAGTGATAACACTTATTCTTACTCTTCTAGTTTCTATGGCTACCACGGAGCGAGTCATTTTCAGCTATGAGCATAGTCAAGACTAAGCTTCATAATAAGATGGAAGATAGCTTTCTTTCTAATTGTTTGTTAGTGTATATTGAAAAAGAAATTATTGAAAATTTTAGTATGGATTCTCTTATAGATGATTTTCGTGACTTGAAAGAACGAAGATCTCTACATTGAATTATTGTATTTTGAGACTATTTTAAAATATATGTTGACATGTTATTTATAATATATATAAGTTTGTGTAAGTCATGATAAATTTATAAATATTTATTTTGGCCTCTCGTGGATATTTGATCCTACGTCCGCCACTCGTTTAATACTATTTGGAGCATATCAAAGCTTAATATTAAATTTAAAGCATTTTAGATTATTTATGAAAGTTGAATAAGCTCATATATGTGTTACTTTCTCAATTGATGCAAGAATATTTGTCTAAGTATTTTTATAAATAACTGTTTTTAGCTATGGTTTTGTCTGCCCACTCTTTTATTTGGTAACAGATTGTCTTTGTTGTTTGTCCCGTTTGACTTAAATGTTTCTTTGCAGAAATATAAAGCTTTTTGAGTGGTTGAAAATTCTTTTACTAGAATAGCTCATGACATTTTGTCTACTTCCATTGGTAAAGTGGTCTAACTCACTCTAACAAACTCCAAATATATAAATATTTATTTATTATCATAAATTAATTTTTAATTTTTATTACAGATACAATGACATAAACTATGAGCATAGAGGACTTATATTCGGGAAAAGCTATAAGAAATAAGAAAAAAAGATTATATTATTGTTGGTTCAATTGTTTTCTATCGGGTTTTTATACATTGAACCAAATGATAACACAATTTTTATAAATAATTTTTTTATATGTAACTGTATTTTCATATATTAGATACATTAAAATGTTTTCCTGTCCTGCTCTATGTGGACGACAAATTAATATACACTAAATACCACCGACTTACAGGTGTGAAATCCAAAACGTTTCAACCAACTAGAATTTTACAACCATCATCGACATCTTACCACGATAGGATCCCAATCTACACTAATACGGTAAAAGGACACCTCCTGTTTAGTAGTCCACACAAGAACTATCCTGCACCTCATTCATATCCCTCCAAATTTCCCTCTCCAGCATATACCCTTGCATGTGCCACTATTTTCTTCCCCATATAGCCCTAAAACACTCAAAGCTCACTCATCCCCTTCTCCATCTCCACCATATTCCCCACTATCATCTCAGAAAGCACTTATTAAACAAATCTCCACTATCATTTCAGAAATTATTAAACAAATCACAAATCCCCCCTCACAAACTTCCTTAAAATTCTGCAAGATAGACATAACAAAAGAAGAAATGGACTCAAAAACCAGATCTCCCCTAATTATAACTTCCCTTACCAATTTGATTAATGTTGTTGTCTCTCAACTTGATTAGATTATTAGCCTTTCTGGGACTTCTAGGTTTTTCTTTCTTTCTCTACTCAATCATCATGGAAATTCCCGAAGGAACAACAACAACATCAACAACAACCACACCAACTGCTGCTGACGACGACAAAAAGTACGTCTATTCGGTGTGGGCAAGTCCACCAGAAGATGTGGCGGCGAGGCTGAAGAAGTTGATGGACGGACTCAGATCGGAGTTTGGTGGGCCCCAGTTCCAGCCACACGTGACGGTTGTGGGGGCCATTAGTTTAACGGAGCAAGATGCGTTGGGGAAGTTTAATTCTGCTTGTGATGGGCTCCAGGCTTATAATGCTACCGTTGATCGAGTGGCTACTGGGACTTTCTTTTATCAGTGTGTTTATTTGCTACTTCATCCTACGGCTGAGGTGATTTCTGCATTTTCTTTTTTCGTTTGTTTTAATTTTGAAATAATTGTGGTCCATGAATGTTTCTCACTATATGGTTTTCATTAGATTGGTGTTATGATGGAACTGAACTAGCTGCTACTAGTTTGTTCAAAGCTTGAATGCTCACTTGGAACTTTTTTTTTAGGTGGTGGAAGCTAGTGCACATTGTACTGAACGTTTTGGGTACAAGAATTTTACTCGTAAGTTCAATGCCATCTTGCGTTCATTTTTTTTTTTTTTTTTCATTTTTGAATAATAAGATATGGATTTTCTTTATTTTTAATTTTTGGGTTCAATTTTGTTAATTTTGGAGAATGTATAAGAATTGAATTTAGGTAAGCTATGTGTGGTTAATTATGACATATCATTGCCAGGGAAGCTGAGATTCTTATATTAGTTTGGCTGTACGAAAGAAGTAAACTTGGGAGTGTAGGAGGGAGAGGCTTCTAAGCTAACTGGTAGGTTGGCTACTAGTTTGTAAGAAAAGGGAAGTAATTGAGTATTTTTATCTGCGAAGGTTGTTAGATAATTGTATGACTGTAGTGATAAAATGAGCTTCTGATGCTTCAAACCTGGAGAATCTGCATAATGTGATTTTTTGTAATAAAATTTTGTGGGCATTTGTTTAGAGGTACAAAAACCTTAATGAACATAAGTGAGTATTGTAATATTGAAATTGTTTGGAATCTGTTAAGAGAGGAAGAAGGAAAACTGGTTTTTGTTGCATTAGAAAATCTATTAGCTATTGCTTCTGAGTTTTGATTTCTTTTTGAAATTAACAGCAAAGATATGTGGTTAGTGGCTTTCTGGGAATGCAGTGGGAGTACTTCTCTGCCCACTGAACCACCACTCAATATTTAGTAACAAGAAATTCTTGTCCAAAAAGAAGTTTACAGAGGAAATATTGGATATTTTTAACAGAAAAGCAAAATTAACCTGCTATTGTTCATCCATTCAACGTATCATAGTATTTTGATAATTAATTGAATTGCAATTTTCTTGTCATTACACTGAAAGTTATTCTATTGATATCAGCAAATGTATTCCTTGGTCAAAACCACAAAAAGGTATTAAATTTTTCCTCAGTCTCAACAAAAACCAGCACAGTTTCTAGACAGATTCTTTGTGGTCGAAAGCAGCTATATATAATGTGGAAAGACTATACGTCAATGCATACAACTTGGTTATGGTTTTTATGTCACTAAACCTGTTACTCTGGGCTGTCTGGCTAAATATTTAGAGTTGGTACATTGCTTCTTTGCTTAGAAAATGGGTGCAGATTAGGGGAAATCTCTACCTGCATTTGATACTCAAAGGTTGTTTTCATTTAATCTGTGATGGTTAATTATCTGGTATCCAAACGGAGACCTTCTAGTTAATTTTGTCAGAAACATTATTATACTGTCTCTCCGTTGTGATTATGTATGTTTTGCTAATCAATATTTTGTATAACATGTGCAGCTTACATGCCACATGTCAGTCTCCTTTATGGCGATCTGACGGATGATGAGAAGAAAAAGGCCCAAGAAAAAGTAAGTATTCTTGATGATAGTATCAACGATCTAAGCTTCCCAATAACTCGCCTTGCATTGTGGAAAACAGACACTCAGGACTTGACTCTGAAATCATGGGAGAAGATTGCAGAATGCAGCCTTAGCCCCAAATAAATCTTCTGTCTCCTTTCTTGTGATCAGACCATAAAACCTTAACTAGCCCTTCTGGCATTGGTTAATGATCATTCGGTGTTTCTTGCTATGTACTTTTTGGTTGGGTATGCAATGCTAGTACCACCATCTGTGATGTCCTGTTGTGTACTTGTATTTTTACTTCAACCACACTAGAATGCTACACGAACATAAGATGAAAATGAATGTGAACATTGTTGACCAAATGCTTTCTATTCCATGGTTGGAGGTTTGTGACTGCAGCAAGGCCTGTTGTATATTTTTCTCTGAAATTTCCATGATTGCATAAATTCAACAATGCATTGACACTTTTTCCTTTGATTACTGTTAAGCAAATTGGCCCAGTTTCGTGTGTTGTCTGCCTTTCATGAAGATAAAGATGAAAATGAATGCGAACATTGTTGACCAAATGTGAATGCTAAGTTATTGTATGGGTTATCTCTAGAATGGGATGCTGATGCTGATCTAAGCGAATGAAATAATCCTAATAAAGGCCTCCTCTGATCTGTGAAAGAACACGCGCGGGAAAAAGGAAAAAGATGATGCCATTTGCAACGTCATACGTTGAGTGTGAACAAGGTCAGGATGGCCAGCTTTTCCCAGCAAAGATGAGCTTGATTTTCGGCATATCCAATATTTCAGCTGCTTATTTGGATCTGAAGTGTTTTCCATGGGATCTTATCCAAGATGAGTTGACAATTGACACAGCCCAAATGTTTACAAAGTCAAATAGCTTTTTTTTTTTTTTTTTTTTGTAATAGTATTTCTCGTTGTTTTTTATTATACAACCTATAGAACAATCAATTGCCACTAACAGCGTTATTTAAGGTGCATTGAACAACAAAAGGTTTACTGTGTCTCTAAGCCCAAAAAAGTCAAGAATCTGGAGACAACTTGGTCATTGTAGTGCCAATTTTGAATTGGTACAGACGACAGACAGTGGGTTTACAAGTTCATGTTAAAAGATATACAATCGTATCATATGAATTTGGTAACCTGCAAAAACATAGTTTGGTAAGAATTAATGGGATGTTGCCATGTTCATCACGTTTTCTTGAATACAACGATGACAGGGTATGTTTAGCGCGTGTTGTCCATGGAGACCACCGTGAATTTTGGCTTGACTCCATAATTTCCTAAACTTAATTAAATGAATGATATATTCTTTTTTTCAATTGCAAGATTATTGGAAAAATAATTATTTAATCTTATCGTAGATTATTCACATCTGATTACATTATTATGAACCTAAAATGTTTTCGAAAAAAATAAAAATAAAGTAAAACATATAATATATTATGTTATTTACCTTTTCATTAAATGATACCATAACTTGAATCATTTTTTATTTCAGTCACTGTCTAATTAAAAGTGTTTAGGTATTTAAGATCTCTTTAGTTTTTTTAGACTATATTTAAGATCAATTTTTTTAAAAAAAAAAAGAAAAAAGAAAAAAATTGATAGGGAAAAAAGTTTGATTTCTTTATTTTAATGATTAATGTATATTCCAACAAAAAAAAGTTAAATAATATCAACTTTCTAATCAATGGCGCCGGAAAGGAATCAATAGTAAGCACAAAAAAAGTCAATAATTAAAATTTATATATGTATATATATATATATATGAAAAGACTAACAATAGAAATATAACCTTTTTTCTTTAATAATAATAATTAAAAAAAAAAGATAAATGACTATATGTCTTTACATAATATGATGAGTATTTTTAATCTATCATTACATTTCTATTTGGATCTATTATGTAACACCTTGATCCTCGAAAGAAAGGCCGGAGTGTTACGGTAGCCTCGAATATTTATGGAGCGCCGGGCACAACTACGGTGCATGCGGCCATGTCTTGTGCTCCCCAAATGCGCGACAATGCCCCGTGAGCTAAAAACATACGTGGGACATGCAATGCACGATAAAAAACATTTGGTTTGAAAGCCTATGTAAAAACTATGTCAAAACCGAAAACTTTTCATTGATGCAAAAACTTGCATCGTGCCTTAGAAATTTCGTTAATGCAAAACTACTCCCATGCAATCGCATCTCGCGGCGACCTAAATCTGTTGCGTATAGGGACAATCTAGTGTCTTGTGACTTTGCGAGTAGAAAACTAAGGTTCTAACTCGCGTGAACACTTTACATGGGATACCAAAATATTAAAGACAATGTAAAAATAAAGGGACACAAGCTTTGGATAAAATACTTTTATTTTATTTATAACCAACTTCTACATGCATCATCTTAAACGTAAAGCTATTTTACATTCGATATTTATAAGAAAAACATCATACAACATATAAATATAAGCTAGACACAACCTACAAGCTAGAAGCCTAGATGAAAGTATACATTTTGATAAACCCTAAAAGCATTTAACAAGACTATCCTCACCGTAGCCTACTCACAAGCGTTGTTGGGATCACTTACACTACAAGACAGAAAGACATGAGCTAAAGCTCGGCAAGTGCAACCATACATGAGTTTATTAAAGCCTATTTTTGTGAAGAAATTCATTTTTCTCTTTCGAACATGTCCCGCTAAATGTTTGATTCGGCTTTCTTTTAAAAAAATTGACGAAAAACCTTGAAAACCAAACAACGTCTACCTAAGGACTAACCATTGGGTATACACTAGATCATTCTCGTGAGTGGCTTCTTTGTGTTCATGCACTTAACTTTTTTTTTTTTTTTTTTGCTTAAAACACGAACCATAAAAACCAATATCTATATCATGCCATGGACTTATGCTTTCAATACTTATGCACCCAAATATCATCAACGATGCCAAGACAACGTAACTATGCTAAAAAAGCCTCTAAGCATCAAACCAATTTTTCAAAATACTATATTCAATCTATCATAGCAAGCAATTCAGTTCATCAAGTTAATACCAAGAAAAAACGTCACCACATTTAAAAGAGGCTCTCGATCAAAATAATAACAATTATTTAAGCATCATGCTATGAATTCATCCAAGTCAAGACATGTTATAATTCACCAAGATAACCAATTAAACATGTCTAATTTTACCTCGAGCAACCTGGAATTTAGAGTTAAATCAAGCAAAACAAGGCAGTACACAATGTCATTATTTTGGTAGAATCTCAAACCAAGCCAAGCCAAGCCAAACAATTTTTGATAGAATATATTCAAACAATTCATTCAGCCACAAAGTCATCCCAAGTTCATTCTATATTCATCTAGGGTATACATGACAATTCTAAACCTAGTGAAAAGTTTTAATTCTTCATACATCAAGATTTAACCTTCCTATTTAACACACAAACACAATAAAATCAAACTCAAATATATCAAGGAATACCTAAGTCTAGATAATGTGGTGTAGTTGAGTGAGTTACACTTACTTTGTCTAGAGATATGAGATAAAAAAATGCTTTAAAAGACAACAAGAGACCCTCCTAGCATTTGGTCCAACCCTTAGCCAAAACTAGTAACAACTCCCTCAATAATAAGCAGCTCTCTCTCAAGCAAGCCACAACATCTCCCTCTCAAGCAAACTCTTCCTTTTTGCTTATAAAATTTTCAAATGGTTAAAAGAATCCATTCATAGTCTCACCCTCCCTTTATACGGAGCCAGGCATGCAATAGAAAAATGCTTAAAAATTTTGAAGGATGACACCTTCTTGGCTAAGTTACCCATGCAAGGCATGGTAATGACATCTAGCTTTTCACTTACTTAAGAAGAAGGTAAGTCTCTCTCAAATGTTCAATCTATACAATCAAGTCTCTTAAATCATGTACAAATCATACTTAATGTGTTATTGTTTGATTTTCATAATAAAAAAACTAATATATCAAGGTGTGTGGCTAGACTTAAAATTCGTTAACAAAAACCGATGCGATGACGAGTGGTAGTCTTTATTGATGTAAATTGAAATATCCGGACACTCCGTTTTTCATCAACGAAAAATAACTTGTCCCAACATAGTCATTTTCGATAGTAATTTCACATAGCATATAGTAAAGCATGGCATTTGACAATAAAACGTATATTAAAACATGAAGCTCATTAACGAGAGTAGCAAGTCTTGATGCGATAGTTTCGTTGATGAATAAAGCTTGTTTTGATGTAACAGCTTTAACGAGTGAAACTATATCATTAAGGCAATCGTTGTTTTTGACAACAAATCTAGCATGTCTTGATGTAGTTGGTTTTTGACGAGTAATCATCTATCAAACATGAACATTCAATTAAATAATTAGGGCACACATAATCATTGATGAAAGTTGATGTGTCATGGCATAACCGATTTTCGACAGTACGCAAACAAGCATGCCATGACTCGTCGATTTTTGATGACCACATGCACATCAATATTTAAGCATCAACATCAAGTAAATTAATTAGGCATCATGCTAAACATAAACATGCATATGCTATATGCAAAGGTCCGGACTATTACATATTATGTCTTTGTATAGTATCTAATAGTTCAATCGGCCCTTCATACTATCTTTTCGTAAAACATATTCATGTATAGGTTACATGATAAAAGCTTATTCTCGAAATGCCCTTGACTCAAATGTAGAAAAAAAAAAAAGAGAAGACAAATCTCTAATATGTTTCTACATTTCTAATTGTGTATTTAATATGCCAATTTGGATAAAAAGTACATTACAAAATGGCATATTGGAGGATTGGATATTATACAAGGATATATTAGACACAATTAGAAATATAGGGACATATTAAAGACTTTTTTTTTCTTTTTTCCTACGTTGCAATCGGGAGCATTTCACAAATAAACTTTGGTCATGTGATCTATACATGAGCATTTGTTCAAAAAATGGTGAAAAAAACTAACTGGATGATTAGACATTATGCACGAGCATACAATTATATATGTATATATATATATATATGTATATATATATATATATATATATATATATATATATATATATATATATATATATATATATATATAAAGATTGAAGACTCACCATATTATATAAGAATCATTTCGAAAATAAAATTTGGTCATGTGACTTACACGAAAGCATTTGTTCAAAAAATGATAAAAAAAACTAATTGAATGATTGTACATTATACAAAAACATAATAGATACGACTAAAAATATAAAAAAAGATTGAAGACTCACCGTATTATGTAAAAATTGTTTCAAAAATAAATTTTGGTCATATGACTTATACGTAAGCATTTTTTCAAAAAATGGTCAAAATTAAAAAGAAGAAAAGAGACTAATAATAGCAATAAAGCCCTCTTTCTTTAACAACGAAAGTAATAAAAAAAGATAAATGATTTAATGTCTTTATATAATAACATGAGTTTCTAATCTATTTTTTATATTTTTAATTGGATCTATTATGTCTTTGTATAATGTCTAATAGTTTAATTAGTCCTTCAATTCTTACTACCTTTGTTTGAACAAATATTCATGTATTGGTCACATAACTAAAATTTATTTTTGAAATATTGTTAAATGAAATGTAGAAAAAAAAATTTCTAATTCGTTTCTTTATTTTTATTTATACCTATTGCGTACTTATATGATATCTAATTCTACAATATGCTATTCAGTCAAGCTTTTCAATCTAATTTGGTAAAATAATTTTTTTATTTTAAAATTATCCTTGAGCTATATAAGGACATAGTAGATAAATTTCTCAAAATGTATTAAGAAATAAGAAGTTTTAAAATTACTAAATCGTTAATTTTTTTTTAAATAAAGATTTTAAATTTTTTTAGAAAAATTAAAATTATATTCTTGTATAGCTCAAAAGCACTTTTAGAATGAAAAATATAATTATGTTAATTTGGATAGAAACACATCACAAAATAACATATTTGGGAATTGGATATTATACAAAGATATAATAGGCATAATAAAAAAATATAGGAATATATTAATTTTAAAAATAAAATTTGATCATGTGACATACACATGAGTATTTGTTCAAAAGACGATAGAAAAATCTAATTAAATGATTAGACATTACACAAAAATATAATAGACACAATTAAAAACATATAGATAGATTAAAGACTTATAACAAAAAGGCTAAAGGTTGGAATAAACTATCCTATCACATGACAAATCACCTCTCATCTTTTCTTTATCAACAAGCTATCCTTTTTTTTTCTTTATCAACAAGCCATTCCCTTTTGAAGGTTTCAACAAGTTTATAGTAATATAAAAAATAAATTATAAATTAGGCTCTATATTTTTAAAAGAATGAATTAATTAGTTTTTTTATTTTAAAAAATAATTATTTAATTTTAATATTTTTAATTTTTCTGGTAATTTAATCATTTTTTGTTATTTTTTAATTTATTTTGATTTTTTATCTTAAAAATAAAAATATATAAAAAATATGAAAAGATTGATGGGAAAACATATTTGAAAAGAAAATAATATTAAATTAAGTATAATTAATGAAGATTAATGAACTAAATAATTAATTTTTTAAAAAAACTAATTAATTTATTTTTCAAAAATAAAGTAACTAATGTATAATTTGTTATAGGGAAGCCGGTGTTGTTTTAAACTTTTGAACCTGTAGCTCACGTTAGCCAACCGTCTCTTTCGTTGCTCCGGAACTGCTTTCATACGATCTTTATCCCACTCGCAGAAAGTGGCGTGAACTCACACCCTCCCAAATATTGAAACCGGAAAACTTATTCAACGTTTACCACAGCGAAAAGAAAAAAAACACGCTTGAATTTGTCTGTAGTTATCATAAACTAATATCCAAACACCTCCAATTGAATTGAATTGTATTCGTATTTCTATCTATATAAATAATGGAAAAAGAAAAGGAGGAAATTCCATATATAGATAGATAGATCCTATATTCAATGATTATCGTTGACGCGTATTTAGCTTAGCAAACACAACATCCCTCTCGGTTTTAGGGTCTTAACAGTCAACAAAAGAGTCCTTCCTAATCAGGGTTTAAGCTGAACGAAATCTGCTCTACTCGCATTCAATTTAGCTGAATTCCAAAAACCAGGAATCCAATTGTTTTCCATTTTGGAAATAATGGAAGGGAAGAATCCAGTGAGGTTTACGTTAGGAAAGCAATCGTCGCTCGCACCAGATAGAGACCGAGAAGAATCTGATCTTGATATGGAAGGAATTGAGCCAGGAGTGAGGCTAATGTATTTAGCTAATGAAGGAAATTTGGAAGGGATAAAAGAGTTGTTGAATTCTGGTGTTGATGTTAATTTTCGCGATATTGATGACCGTACTGCTCTTCATATTGCTGCTTGTCAAGGCCATACTCAAGTGGTCGCGCTTTTGCTCGATAACCGGGCCGAAATTGACCCCAAAGATCGTTGGGGTAGCACTGTAAGAATTTAGATGTTGATTTTGTTTTTGTGAATTGGTTTTCTTAAGATTACTGAAATTAATTGTGTTAAGAGATTGCTAGCTTGCTTGACCTTTTTTTTTTTTTTTTTTTTTTTTTTTTTCCCAATGGGGTTGACTATGTTGTTCGGCTCGAGATTTGAGTTTGATTTCTAACCCGTCCTGGTTTGAGAGATTACCAATGAGCTGCAAGCTTATGGTTAGAATAATATCATTTTAAAGAATTGGGTTGTTAAGAGAGGTATGTAGTGTATGCCATTTCAATTAGTCCTGACAATTTGCGCAAGCATTCTGTTTTGAGCTCAGGCATTTTCAGGTTGCCAGTTAGGAGTTGGTTCTGCTTCTGACGCTAGTTATTAAGATATGGGTTGTTTTTAAAATCTCGAGCTGCATGGCAAGCATTATAGTTCAGAGCAGTCTTGGGATTTTTTTTTAAAATACTAAAATCTAGTGTTTGTTTGTTTGTTTGTTTATTATTATTTTTTTTTACTGCAATTCTGATATTCAGAGTTTGTTTTGTTTTTTCAGTTAACTAATGTTGCTTCAACAGCCTCTTGCAGATGCTATATATTACAAACACCATGATGTGATTAAACTTTTGGAGAAGCATGGTGCAAAGCCTCTGGTATGTTTTCATTTTTTGTTGTTTACATGAGATGCATTTGTTTACTTTTTGACCTGGCTTCATTATAGTGTCTTGGTGCGGGTTTGTTTATGTAGATGACTCCTATGCACGTTAAGCATGAACGTGAGGTCCCGGAATATGAAATCAATCCTGACGAACTGGATTTTACTAACAGTGTGGAATTAACTAAGGTAACTTGTTCTCCATTTCTGGTTTGCCTGCTGCAACTGATGAGCTTCTGTTTATCTTCTGTTTACGTTGATTACAGACATCTTCGAGCTAGTATTTTATTGCTTCTTATGTGAATGTTGTGAAAATTGATGTCAGTTTCTTTTATGTTGATATTTATTGTCAAATGTTAATACTTGCATTAAAATCTTGTTGATGATTTTTTTAGTGCATCTCTTATATTATATAATTATATTTGTGGCTTTTATCCCTGTACTGTTAGTATTTGAGTTGGGTAAGAAAACAACGATTAGTTACTTAGGTAATGAACATATATTTTAGATAAGATCTCTGAGGTGCAGCTAAATCTGGGGTCAGACTGTACTTGGCCTGTTTAAAAGCATATCTCATTTTCAAGTTGATTGCATGAAATATGCTACAGGGAACCTTTTGCATAGCATCATGGCGAGGAATTCAGGTTGCTGTTAAAAAGCTTGGTGAGGAAGTGCTTTCAGACGAAGATAAAGTGTGGGTTATTTAAACCCTGAACCTTTTTTCTTTCCTTTTTTTTTCCCTCAATAGTATTTCGTTTTGTACTTTTAGGTTCTCATGATGGTTTGTTTTGTACAGGAGAGCATTCAGAGATGAACTTGCATTGCTTCAGAAAATACGGCATCCAAATGTGGTCCAGTTTCTGGGTGCTGTTACTCAAAGTAGTCCAATGATGATTGTGACAGAATATTTACCTAAGGTTGGTTCTTCAATTCTGTCATTCACCATGTGGAGGTGGCATTTTTCAATTCTTATTCATTTTTATTGCTTTCTGCTGGATCATTGGTGTTGCCACAGCTCTATTATATGCACATAATTTTCTTCGTTGGTTGTTATTTATCATTTTCAATGGCTGTTAATGTGGGTTTTTTTTTTTTTTTTTTTTTTTTTTTTGTTTTTTTCCTGTCTGCTTTCTTTCTTATTTCATAATCATGTTTTTTATTTTCTTCATATCGAATTTGATGATTATAAATTTGTTCCCCTGTTTTGAAGTCTAGTTGTTTCCAGTATACTTTCACCCAGATGGCTATGATTTCTTGAACAAACTTAAAAGTATCAATGGTCTATCTTTGTGAAAATTTCTGCATCATATGTGATGGAATTTTTTCCTTCGAATTTTATTTGTGAGTAAGGATGGGAAGACCATCCTCCATCACTCCTCTGAGTATCCTTTCTTCCAACCTGAAATTCACAAGTATTGAATTTGGAGACTGGATCTTTGTAAATATTGCCTTCTACTTGCAAAATTATGCCATGTTGTGCTCTTTCACAACATTACAGAGTGGTGGATCTACATCTTCTCTATTTTGACATCTATCTTGTTTTTTGTACAGAAGAAATTAGGCAATAAAAATGCTTGTAGATGTTCAAGTCAGTGCAATCTTATATTGTAAAATTAAAATCTAGTAGTTTTTTGTTTCCATTGATGTTACAGGGAGATCTTTGTGCGTTCTTGAAAAGAAAAGGAGCATTAAAACCAATAGCAGCAGTGAGACTTGCACTTGATATTGCAAGGTATGTTATTATTATTATTACTATTATTATTTTTTTCTTATTAACACAGAGTAAACACATATTTCATGTCTAAAATAAAAGACTGTATGGTGGGCTTGTAAATTTTTGGTGTTTAAATGCAGGCACACCCACTCCCCATAAAAGGCCTGTTTACTTTTTCTTGAAGTTTATTATTATTCTGAATATCCAATTTGTTGGAAATAGCAATAATTTTTTGATTGGATGCTTGTACATTAGTTACTGACTCACTAAGAACTTTAAGTAACATTTTGTAGCTGTATAACTTCGTATGCTTGAAGAAAATGTTTAACCCAGCTTGAAAGTTGTGGAGCTCGTCACTAACAGATTGACAATGGATACCTAGTTTGGCAATCAAAAGAATCAATTTGTATTCATCTTCTCTCTGTCTTTCATTGTCTTTATATATATATATATATATATATCGAGGTGTCAAACCTGGTGCACAGACACAGAGAGTGACATCTCAGAAATACAACACAAAGAAAAAGAGAAATAAAGCCTACAGTACTTAGATTCTTAGAATCACAGGAAGCAGTACTGGTGTAATGCTAGTCAAATGGATAGCTAAGAGAGCAATGTAGTCAAAAATTGTGATTTAAGACTAAAAATCTCAAGATTGGCATGTCCTTTACAGTAACTTATAGCTCGCTGTCAAATATATTAAGAGTTAAAACTGGTCTCCAAGCCTGGCGTGGAGTGATGCTTTTAATTTTCAATTACATGATTAGCCTACATATGTTAGTTTTCTTTCCGGAACTTCGATTGTTCAATGTATAGCATATAATTTTTCTTCTAATTTAACAATCTTTTGAGTAGAGTCTCGATTATTTTATGTAAATGGGGGAGAAAATGGACATTGATGCCTATGTTTTAAAGTTTCTGTATGGATGATATATGGAGTTGGATTTATTGCAAAACAAAACCTTCAAGATATGCTGCATGCTTTGGTTGATCGAGTTGAAGATGAAAATGTTTGTCGTTTGTCACTTAACTCTCCGAGTCAGACAATCCTGAAAGAGCTCTTCTATTTCTGGAAATTTTTGCAGGGGAATGAATTACTTGCATGAGAATAAGCCAGCACCAATAATTCACCGTGATCTTGAGCCTTCGTATGTTTCTTGTTCAACTTATACTGGTTTTTATTTAACATGCACATATACATATCTATAACTATAGAGGAAGTATCGGTTAAAATTCATTGCATTTCTCAATTTTCTGAAATTGTCAGCACCTTTTTATGTTGCTTATGAGCAAGATAACAGAAATATATTGCGGGATGATTCTGGGCATCTGAAAGTCGCAGACTTCGGAATTAGCAAGTTGCTTACAGTTAAAGAAGACAAACCTCTAAATAGTCAAGAAAGTTCCTGTAAGTGTGGGTGGTCATCTTTATAAACCTCATTTAGTTTGGAAGTTGCTAAACCAAATGTCTTTTCCACATGCCAGTTATTTTTGTAATTGACTTGGTAGGTGAATATTGTTATGGAAATGTTTGTATGGTCATTGACAGGGCGGTATGTGGCTCCAGAGGTTATCAAAAATGAAGAATATGACACTAAAGTGGATGTTTTTTCCTTCGCATTAATTCTACAGGAGGTAAAGTATTATGAATCTTCCTGTAATGAAGGGTCTTTGTATATGTCAGGGCATTCTCACTTTGCACCCATAGAGTTCATACTTAGCATTTTATTTTTTTACTTATGACACAGGATTAGTAAATATCATGTACTTGTCAACAATTCAGCAAAGCATATACATGCAAACTGATTTGTTCTTGATCTTTGATAGATTTACAATTTATTTCAGATATATGACTATTGATATTTTTTACATAATGTACATTAGATGATTGAAGGCTGCCCACCATTTTCTGCTAAGCAAGAACATGAGGTTCGTACAGCCTATGCGGCAAAAGAGCGTCCGCCTTTTAGAGCTCCAGCAAAGTCTTATGCACATGGACTTAAAGAGTATGTCCTTCTGTCCTTCTTTCTTAGTTCTTTTTACATGAGTTTTGTTCTTTTTAAAGTGTAGAGCTTACTGTGGTTGTTCTCAAACTAACTGTGGAATCTGACATCTTATTTCTTTAATTGGATTTCGGTATGAAGACTACATGTACTTGCATCATTTATAAGAAGCACTAAATAAACGTAAGCAAACCTTTAAAACAAAAGAAGGTTTATGCAAAGGGTGGTTCTTATATAGGATGGATCTTCAATTAATTCCATATTGACTAGCACCAGTGCTGTAAACTTGTCATGAGTTCAAATCGTGAGGCAGAACCCAAAGCTTGCTTTAATTAAAGCTTCTTGAAAAAAATAATCTACTTCTGAAAAAAAAAAAGTTAAATAAAATTACATATTCCTTTTTTTTTTTTTTTTGCATGATGCTTTAATAAATGATAAGCATTATTTACATCTGTGGATATATAGATATATTTATGATATCTATGAATTGAAAATGTAAGAATTCCTGGTTCCACAGCCAAGATGGTTCTGCATTTAGTTGCCCAAACATTTCTGCATGTATATAGCTACGGGCTGCAAGTGACAATGCCTTGAGTCACCAAGACAGAAAAAGTGGTCTCATAGGATTCTTCTGAATTGATAAACTTATTTTTAAAGATTTAATCTACTTTCCATTTTGGAATCAATTCAAGAATTTAGTGAATTCAAATATCACGTCACTAGTTTGAATTCCATTGAACTTTAAACCATTCAAACCTAACATGACATTGTGTATCTTTTTGTTTATAAAAATTTTTTTTTTAGGCAACTTTCCATTTGGAATGATTCAAGATAGAATTAATTTGAATTCAATCTAGTTACTTGAGTTAAAATTGAACCCTTAGCACCTTAGCAATCTATGATCCTGAACAAATCACTTCCTAAGTCATCAAATGTGGGCCACTGTAGGGACATCGACAGACATTTTATTATAAGAAGTGTTCATTATCAAAAATTGTGTATTGTACTATAATTAGTCTTCTCTCACAAAAATTGAATTGCTTTATACTTTCTACTTCTACTGCCATGATTGTAGTGTCAACTGATCTTTCATTGAGATCATTTATGGGAAAGTGAAATCTTGATACTATCTTGATCTCACAGGTTGATTGAGGAGTGCTGGCATGAGAATCCAGCTAAGCGACCGACTTTCAGACAAATACTAACAAGACTGGATGCCATTCATAGCAGCATTGGTCATAAGAGGCGTTGGAAGGTATCTCCTCTCTCTCAATGTGTCTGTGGTGATATTGTTCTGGTCCTGAATAAGCAACCACAATTTTGACATCACACTTTATCTGACTACCTCTGAAGCTGTTCCTACAAATAACTAACCATTTCACTGTTTTGAATGGCTTCAAATGCTTTATTCTGAGAGTCGCTGGTGGAATTAATACCTTGCGGTCTTTTGTTATGTTTTCCTAATATTCGTTTTGATGATAAAAAGCTTGAAAAATGATAGATTACTCAAAAAACTATGAATTGAACCTTCTGTTGGGAGCTACATTTTTCAAGTTCTGGTTCTTTGAGGATAGCGTTTTAACCCTTCTACATGTTCCTGCTGTCGTAGAACTAATGGTTTTTTTTTTTTTGGTTGGCATTGTAACCTGTACAGGTTAGACCACTGAAATGCTTTCAGAATCTGGAGGCAATGTTGAAGAAAGATCGTAGTCTAAGCAGCCACAGTTCACGTTCTGCCAGCAGTATATGAATAAGCAAGAATTTGTTACCCACTTAGCTTAAATATGTGCAGAGATTTTCCTCAGGCATTGGCGATCAAAGGATTATTTGACTGGTTCAGAATGTAGCTTTTTTTCTGTCCGTGTAATTCCATTTGCAATTGAGTTTGTTTCAGTTATTTGATATTCGTCAACTCTCCCATTGAAATTGTGGGTTGAGAAACATAATCCATAATCCATTCACGGTTGTATTTGTTGAAAATACTTTGGCTGCTCAAAGCTGTACATTATGAGTGTTACAAATATCTTTTATCCTGATTAACTTTAGTTTGCAAGTCTTTTGATGTAGATTATTCTAAGATTTAGATTTGCCGGAGAGATGAAGAACATCATATTGTGTGGTTGATATGACGTGATCAGCATCAATCATTTTGAGTGTATTATTTAAAACACAACTGGATGTGCCTTGTGGTTGTGCTGTTAAGCTCCCAAATGCTATCAAATAATAGGCAGTGATGAATTTAGTTTATTTAAGCTAATTACCATTTTTTTTTTTTTTTTAAAAAAAAAGCATAAAGCACTGACATTAAACCCATCAATTCAATATCATCAAAGATGGACCAGTTTTTGCATATTGAAACTAACTCATGTTTTTCATAGCTAATTTTTAGATATGAATTATTACGCCCCTGTGATAAATGTATGTCCACTTAAGCATCAGGTCCACCTGTTGAGATTACTAATTAAGCTAGTTAATTTGGGTTTTAACCATATTAGTGTGCAAAGAATTGAAATTGAGAATTGAGAGAGAGCACAAGTAGGGTGGCGATTCTTTGAACGCATCTCATAATGCAGTGTCCATATGCAAATGATCATGAGTGCCCATCTTTAATCATGACCAAATTGGAATCTCATCCTCAGTGTTGTTTCTCACTTGGATTACTTGCGTCAACAAAATATTAATTCTCTAAAACTCCATTACTAATAATCATGCTTGGATGGAACACAAAGAGAGGTGAGAAGGAACTGCAGTTTTGGCTAAGTGACTGTCATTTTTTTTTCGAAAGTGACAATACGTTCTGTGGGTTTCACTTGAGAGTGACAATTCATGGTATAACCCCTCCCCTCCGGGTTTTCTAACTAAATTTTCTAACCAGTATTGTTTTGATTATATATATATATAGAGAGAGAGAGAGGAAAAGATCGTGGACCATGGTACCTCACAAAAAGTTGTAGAGACATAGAATGGATGTTAATGTTAATATGCAATTATGTGGAAATGCATTATTGTAGAATGTATGTCTGCTTCTCCTTCTCTTTCTCTTCCAAGATGGTGACAAGTCCTTGCTTTGGGAAATTTGGAATCACATAGAAGCGAAAAAATATATTACTTGAAAACACTCTTCTTTTTTTTTTTTCGAGAGTGTTATCTTCTTTTTGACCCAGAAAGCCAAACTATATATACAATTTCGATATTAGGAAATTTATAAGAATTTTACTCTTAGTAATCAAACCTACGTTTTAAACTTGGATATGGTAAAAAGTAAAATATATTTCTTTAACCATCATGCTAATCATCTCAGATTCACTATATAACTTACTTTCAAGCTTGTGGTTCATCCTCTGCATAACTAGAGTTTGGGATAAGCTCAACAAATTAAAGGGTTTGTGGAGACCCAATTTTACAATTCCTTTTTCTTCTTTGTTTGGAGGAATGTCTTCATTTTCAATTGTCCTCAAAGAAAAGGAACTTCTCTAATCAAGTTCTGGCATTCTACGATCTATATGGCCATGCTAATGATGGTAAATGTTGGTTCTTAGGTTGAAACAAATAAAAAAGGTAAATCTTATGGGCGCAATTATCATACCGAAAGTTAGTACAAAGAAGGATAGTTAACTAATACTCCCAATTGTTGGGAAATAAATCAAGCAAAAAATAATAGACTAGAAAAATGAATAATTATACAATACAAAAATTTATATGTTTCGACAATTATGCTTACTCCATGGATATATTAAAAGTTCTTATTAGAATTTTATTCAATAATGACTACAAATATAAAAAATATTATCTCTATTTATAGTATGGACAACTAGGTTTACAAAAAAAAAAAAAAAAATTATATATATATATTTCACTAGTCTATACAGTTAACTTAAGATTCTATGGACTTTTTGAGGATTCGCCCTTGAACTCCTATAAGAAGCGTTGCTTCCTTGACCTCTGCTCACTAATCAACTAACAATATCACCGTATTTATTTTGCATAGCACATTAAATTGTGGACTACATCCATGTTAGTCTCCACAAACTAACAATATAACAAAGGAAATACCTGGAATAAAAATTAAGTGCAAGAAAATCTCATAATACAGTGAACGTTATAGATATATATATATATATGTATATTCATCAAATGTCCCCTTCATTGCAACAGGTCAGTACTTAGCGCTAGCGTCGCCTAATATTGCACAAGAACATATACATAAAGTCACTGGTGGTCAAAAAATTCATTGAAACTTGTTTTGTATGCTTAAGCAGAAATGCCCAGAATGAATTCGACATTACAAGACAACCTCAATAACGTCTACCAAGCTATGTATTTCTAGCTGAAACTGAGGCTCCTTGGGATGAAGATTTGATACCAACCATATATAGCTTATCCAATTGAATTGAATATTGGAAGTTTAGAAGAACACACAAGTATAATTTTGAGCCAGGCATAGGATGGTACGGCAGTTAATTAAATTGTGGCAGAGAGGTAGTTTAGTTCACTAATATATACATACAGTGTGCTATCATATCATTGCAGCATTTTGAGGTAAAATCCATGACAAAATTAAAGAAAGCCTGAAATACTATGAGCTTGATTTGGAATTGCTTTAAACTGTCCATGGACCACCCTTTTTAATAATGTAGGACCTGCTCTTGCTTCTTTGTTTGGTAGTAGTTTGATGTTGTAGATCGATGGCTCTTCCTAGCTAGTTTAAGCTCGATCGATATGAAAATGGCACTGGTCTTGCAGCAGGCTCATTGCTCTTTAATTTGTTATTAGGATCTTCCAAGAAGCCCTAATTAAGCATGTTCTTATTTTATCTTTCATGCTGTAATATTTTGTTATTTCATTTTTTAGAGGCCACTAAAATATTCCAATCAAGTAAATATAAGAAAACATATATTCTTCATACCATATTTATATATGTTCAGTATACTAATATTTCTTTCTAACCAATGTAGTGCATGGTGTGTTGCACTGATGGTGCTTCTTTAATTATTATATTTGATAGTAGCAATTAGATATGATATTAAAGGGGAGATAAAAATTCATTAGCAAGGCTAATTAGGCTTTTGCTTTCCAAAAAAAAAAAACCAAGAAGGAAATATTAATTTTTAAGTTGAAAATATTGGACAAAATTACTTTACAATAATGATGATTAATGATATTAAGATAGTCGATATCAAAAGCTCGATGAAACTTTTGAATAAGACATGTCCAAGATGAGATTTTTTTTTTTTTTTTGGCAGCACACAGTCGAGTTTAGGACTATCATAAACAAAGGAGGAATATACTTCACTACTAGATTCTATTGATGGAAGATTTTTATTATTTAAAATTACCAAAAAAGTATCAATCTATTTTACAAAATAAGAGACACCGGCCACAGCCAAATAAAAAAGACATCAAATTAAACCTTACTATAAGGACTAAATATCCTAACAAAATAGAAATTTCATACATAAATCAAGTACAGATTTAAAATTTAGATCTAGTTGTTAACATTCTGAAAAAAATAAAAAAAGAAAACGAACAAGAGAGATGAAATGGCTGTCTCCGGTGAGAAAATCACCGGTAATAGCTAGAGTCTCTTTTTTTTTTTCTTTTCCGATGAGAGAACAAAAATATTGGAGACACTCACCACAATCTAGTAAGAATATTTAAAAACCTTATTCTAAGAACTAAACATACTAATAAAGTAAAAAAATTCAAAGATAAGTTTAAAATCTAGATTTTTGTTGTTAATACCTAAAAAAACAAAACAAAACAGAACAACTGAAATAAATAAATAAAAGAAGGAAAAAATAGAGAACAAAGGGACATGAAAAGGCCCCGGTGGTTAATAAAAAAAAAAAAAAATCACAGGCCGGTATTAAAGTTTTTTTTTCTTTTTCTAAGGAGAGAACAAAAAGAAAAGATTAATGCAACATCTAGATATATTATTCCTATATGATATATTAATATTCATATTCTTATATATATATATATATTATTGTATAGCATAATATTCAATCATTTTGACTGATCCCATTTTATTGCTAGGACTTTATAAGTGACCATATTTTACCCTTTTTGCATGTAAAATTGGGCTCCAACATGTGTGTGTGTGGGGAATTGAGTGGAAAAAATGAGAGAAAATAAAATAAAAAAAAATGAAAATGTTAGCTAGTTAATTAGTAGTCAAGGGAAAAGTTAAAACTTTTTAAAACTAAAAAGGCTAAAATTAAAAACTTTTAACCTATAGGGATAAAAGTGGAATATCAATAAATCTATAATGACAATTAAAAACAAAGTTTACCCTTAATAAAGAAATTCACAAAAGACAATTTTTTTTTTCAGAGAAAGAAAAAGACAATATTATAATTACACAATTATATTTAAACATGTCACAGAATCCCATATATGATTCGAAATAAAAAAATAAAAAAAATAACAACAGAGAAATATAAAGATCATTGATTAGGGTAGAGAGGGGAAATCAAGAAAGCACATGTTGCACCTTCGTGTGCACATGCAAGCGAGATTTTACTCCAAAACGCAGAAAAAATTGAACTTCAAAAAAGAAAATTAATCAAATCAAAAAGAAAAAAAGAAAAAAAGAAAAAAATCAGCATATATATATATATATATATATATACACACACCATCAAGGACTAGTTATCTAAATTCATGGAATCCAGCCCTAACGAAGTATTGGATGGAAAGATAATTAGCAATGGTGGGGTCAGTTCCTTATGTGATTGAAATTGGTAAAAG